CTGAACTGTGTATGTAGAAATTTTTGAAACGGTGTATCTTTGGCTATGTGTATTTTCACCAAAGAAAAAAAGAAGGTTGAGAAGTTAGAGGGTTAATATGTTATGGGGTTGTTAACCAATGTCATAAAACAACATGTGTACTACTGTTTCATGAGAAACTAACTAGTTGTTCTGTAAGCCTTCACCTGAAGTACAATAAAATATAAAAAAAAAATTAAAAAAAAAAAAACTGCTGTTGCTGAGTGCCGTTGAGTCCATTCCGACTCATAGCGACCCTATAAGACAGCACAGAACTGCCTCATAGTGTTTCCTAGGCTGTAATCTTTAAGGGAGCAGACTGCCAGGTCTTTCTCTCCCAGAGACGCTGGTGCGTTTGAACTGCCAACGTTTTGGTTAACAGCCAAGCACTTAACTGTTGCTCCACCAAAACACAACAAAACAAACCCATTACCGTCGAGTCAATTCCAACTCATGGCAACCCTACAGGACAGAGCAGAACTGCCCGACAGGGTTTCCAAGGAGCATCTGGTGGATTCAAACTGCCCACCTTTTGGCTAGCAGCCGAGCTCTTAACACTGCGCCGCCAGGGCTCCATAAAGCAAGCTAGGAGAGAATAAAAACGTTGGAATAACCCATGGCTATTTCTCTCCCAGGAGCTGCCTTGCTCCCTCGGGAATCACTCCATTTTAGGGACCTTGACCTTCTCCACACGCAGATCTACCCCCAACATACTTCCCCCTGTGGTTAGCAGAGCTCTCAAGACCGTCCTCCAGCAAAGCGACCCGCACCCGGGGCCACTCCAACTGTCCCTGGAATGGGGCCACTTCTCTGCGTCTGCTCAGAAGCCGCACTTTTTCCAGTGCACATCTGGGCGACAAACGGGTCTTGCCTGAGGGTGAATAAGGGGCACGTGACCGACACCCCACACAGAACCTTGTGTGAATTTGTCCTCCAGCCTCCCCAGGAAACCAGGGTGGGGAGCAGAAAACAAGCCCCACGTAACGCTTTTTAAAAAGTACTATTTATGCTTTTGCTTGTAAGGAACTTATATGTGAACTGCTTATGAAGAAAAAAACAAAAAATTCTGACAACACCTAGTATGCTGCCAGTTGAGAAAACGTTAAGAAATTTTGTTTGCCAAAACCTGAAAGTCAAAGTTTTCTGTCATTCACCCAAGGGTGCCGCTTTGAACCTGACCCTCTCCGGGTGATACGTGGGTCAGTAGCACGGTGGGGGCGTCTAGGGTCATGGAGGTCACCATGAACGTGTGACCAGTAGGTGCTGGGACTCTCGGCCACCTGACATGCAGACTTCTCTTGAGTTTTCACACAGTGCTGGCAACACCACCCCATTTTGCAGGAGGAAACAACGTTTTAGCGAGGTTCGGTAACGCGCCAAAAATGACACAGCTAGTTCTTGGGGACGCTAGCATCCAAACCCAAGACTCTCTGATGGCACAGCCTAGTTCTTCTCACTATCATCTTAATTAAAAAAATTTTTGTCTCGTTTACTTTTTCTTTTCAATGCTTATTAATTTTTTTAAATTTCATTTTTCTCTGGAGCAGTATCTTCGGTATCCTCAAGAACTCTACTCTTCACAGGCAGAGACCCTTGAACTGTTCCATTTTGCAGTGATGAGGGCTGCCTTGGGCTTTGCTGCTCTGAGGACCCTCTTTCCATGTGCGCTTTCTGTTTCAATTCAACAAGTGCCAGACTACGGGCCCCAGGACCCAGGGAGCGCTGGTACCGTGCAAGGTCTCAGGGATGTAGGGCCTGCAGCCTCGGCCTCTCCGAGAAGGCCCTGCTGGGACATTACACACGGCCACGCATGTTAGAAGCAGACAGCAAGCCAGTTCGCAGTTACAAGAATCAACAAATTAAGGAGTGATCATTGCTACCCATGTGGCTTCTCATTTAAATCCCTTCCAAGAAATTCCACTGCACTCAGACAGCTATCCCGGACCACCCCTCAAATTCCTTGATGACTAACAGTTGCCGGCACCTACTGGTCACACGTTCATGGTGGCCAGCATGACCCTAGATGCCTCCACTGTGCTACTGACCTGTATATCACCCGGAGAGGGTCAGGTTCAAAGTGGCACTCTTGGGTGAATGACAGAAACCTTTGACTTCCAGGGTCTTGCAAACAAAACTTCTTGCATTTTCTCAAATGGCAGGGTGCTGGGGACCAGTTGCAGAGTGGATAGCATCTCCTCACTTTTCCTATGATACTGCTTAAGTGGACTGTCTTAGTCATCTAGTGCTGCTATAATAGAAATACCACAAGTGGGTGGCTTTAACAAACAGGAGTTTATTCTCTCACAGTCTTGGAGGCTAGAAGTCCAAATTCAGGGCGCCAGATCTAGGAGAAAGCTTTCTCTCTGTGTCGGCTCTGGAGGAAGTTCCTTGTCATCAATCTTCCCCTGGTCGAGGAGCTTATCTGCACAGGGACCTCAGGTCCCTCTGCTCCTGGAACTGCTTTCTTGGTGGTATGAGGTCTCCTTGTCTCTCTGCTCACTTCTCTTTTTTATATCTCAAAAGAGACTGACTCAAGATACAATCTAATCTTGTAGATTGAGTCCTGCCTCATTAACATACCTGCCTCTAATCCTGCCTTATTAACATCATAGAGGCAAGGTTTACGACACATAGGAAAATCACATCAGATGACAAAATGGTGGACAATCACACAATACTGGGAATCCCGGCCTAGCCAAGCTGACAAACACATTTTTGGGGGACACAATTCAATCCATACCATGGACCAAATGAAGACTTGTCTGGTTTCATTTTCTCTCCTGGCAGGTGCCAGATAGTGGAGCACACAGGTAAACCACAGCTAGCACACCTCCCTTTACTGAGACTTTCGTTCTTCAAATTGACCAGTTACTTCTCTATTGTCAAACTAAGTGGTCTTTTTTGACTTCTCTGTTACATTTCACACTGTTAACCATCCGTCCTCTCTAATCAGCTTCATGGCACTGTCCTTTACATGACATGATAGATACGCACACCTAACATGGGGCCAGGCAGGCGTATGCCTTCAGTCCCTCCCCCTTCAGTACCCCTTCTCGCTACTCCTACCCCAAAGTTTATTTATATTTACTCTTCTGACAGGTCATCCCTTTTCATGTCTCCAACTACCACGTTGATGCTGTTTACCCGTAAAACTGTACCACTAGTACTCTAATCTCACCTGAGTTTTTTCGCTTCCATCTCTCTCCAACTGCCTACTGGATTTCACAGAATCATGGAATTTCAAGGGTGGGCAGGGATCCAAGGTTAACCAGTCTAATCTCCTATCATTACTTTACCACCAAAGGTTTTGGAAGGTTGATGGGATTATGAAGCATTTTTACAACTATTGTTTAAGAGGACTGTATGTCACAATGACATATATTCCTCTGCCTTCACCTTTAGACGTCTCCTAAATCCTACCAGCACCCAGAGGTCTCACCTGGATGTTCCCAGAAGTTCTCTCACAGAGGCCTTGAGGGGCACGTGCTATCTGAGTAAAATCAACACGTCCAAACTGATCTCAGTATCTAAACACGTACCCAAACAGCCCCTTCACAAATGATTTCTTTTCTAGGCCATAAGGCTTGATTATTTCCTTAGTCATCCATGTTCACACCAGGGAGTCCCACTGGTTTTCCCATCCATTGCTCCCTTTCCCATTTTACATCACTGTCCCCTCTAGAGAGATCAGAAGGCTTTTCTATGACCCGTCTACACTGCTTCACTC